TTAAATAAAATGATGAGGATAACATTCTCAATTACAGAGGAAGTAAATGACGTTTGGTGTATCTTAAGTATTACAGATTCTGTAGAACTTGTTTCTTGCTTTCCTCAGCATGTTAGAGCAATGCTAGTCACACCGAAGCACATTAAACACAAAGGAAGTTTTGTGCTTTATAAAGTCCACTTGTTCCTGGTTGGGTGTGACCTTCCCCATGGTCATTCAGGATCTACTCTGCTTCAGGACTCGGGGTTCTGTCACCTCAATCACACAGGGAAGGTCTGCCTCCTTCCCCTTGTCCCCTATGGGAACTGGTGTGCACTATTTTTGCTAATATCTGATTGGCCATGCTTGGTCACATGATTGCACATAACTGTGATGAAGGCTCGCAAATACAGTCTGGCTATGTGTCTAGGAAACAGGCAGTGTGGGATGAAGACACAGCAACCAATTGCTTACTACAAACCTTAGCATTTTCTTCCCTATGGATTCAGAGCAGCTAATGTATACACCAAGAAGCATGTTTTTCTATCTTCTTCACCCAAATGTTTCAACTGTTATCACTTGGTTCTCTGGTTCCAAACCTCCCCAAATTCCATGCTCCAAGGCACCAAGCTCAATTCAGTCACCCTGTTCTCATGGACAGAGGCAGTCAGGTCTCAGGTCCAGGAAACTTTTCCTCCACCTCTTCCCTTTCTCCTCAAAGCTATGCTATAAAAACCTCTCCTGCATTCTCTAGCCCTACGCTGTTTTTCAGTACTCTTCTCTACTTTCTAATGTCCTGACTGGACTCTCCTCTGGAAACTAAAGCCCACATTATGGTGAAAGGAAAAAAATATATAACTTCCTTCCACATCAATCTCTCTCACTCCATCTATCCCATTAGCACCCACTGTGCCAGGTATATGGAGCTGATGGCCACGTACATGCTTTTTTGCCTAAGGGCCCTGCCAGGAAAGAAAGAGCTCCCTTGTGCAAAGCCTGATCCTTAACAGGCTTGCTCTGGCTCCTGCTGCTGCTTTCTACCTCCCTGCCTCCTATAACCTTAACAACTCTGCCTCAGCCTTTCCCTGCTGACAGGGAGCATCAGGAAAAAAAAAAAATACAAAACCAACCCAATCATACAGTGTCATCTGCTGATATAGGGACAGACTCATGCCTTCTTCCCCTTCCTTTAGGGTGAGGAAACTTCTGATTAGCTTTATACATCACCCTCACTCTCACCATCATCACCTGCTATGAGTCATGAATCCCACCTGCCTTTTATTTATTTATTTTTTTGGAGAGGTTTTTGCTATAGGGTGTGTGCGCTCGGCAGACAGACAGAGAGAGACAGAAAGCAAGAAATCACCCCCCAGGGGGGTTGGCCATGCTGCAATCCCTTCTCCTCCATTCTCCTCTCAGGATCTTGGGCATGCACGCACACGCGCCCAGCATGAGTTTAAGCCACTGGGTCTGGGACTCGAACCGTGGTCAACTATGTAGGAGTCCAGCCACATAGCCATTACACTAACTGCTTGTCCCCCATCTGCTTTCATCTCAGCACCTCCACGGAGGCCCCACCTCCATGGAGGCCCCACCTCCATGGCACATCCCAGCACAGAGTTTCATGGCCACTCTCCTACCCTGTATCCTACTGTTGGAATTTGCAGGAATGACAAAGGTATTTGGGGCATGTATGTGGCGTGTATGCACGTGTGGTGCTGTATATGGGATCTTGCAATCTTGCAATCTGCAATCTTCCTTCCTCAGTTTCTAGCACCCACCTCACCCGGCTTTTTAGGGTGGGCTGGGAACCAAACCTGGGCCTTCAATGGTCTTAACCTGTCAACAGTGCATCAAACAGAGCATGACACTTTGGCTGAGTCTGATTCTTAGCATCCTCCTTCGAGCTCTATTAGCAATATGACTTGGCCATTTGGAATTTGTATGTATGGGTCAGAAAGGCATTGGTGGCCTGGGTATAATGAACAAGGCTTCCCATTTTCTTCTGCAGGATTCTAAAGGATCCAGATAGCAAAACCAAGGATGCTTTGTAGGAGTGAATCACTATGGGAAATTGGGCAGGCCTTTGAGAGGAAGGACTGGAGGAGGGATCTCATGTTGGAGAGGACCTGGAAGCTAGCATCCTGCCATGACTCCAACATCAGGGGCCAGGCCCATCTGGCTGGAACCTTTGCAGCTGCCTCCTCCCTGCCTGGGCTTAGTTTTAGCTCCACAATACTGAAAAATACCAAGAAATCTGATGTTCATAGCAGTACTATTCATAAATCTCAAAGGTAGAGTCAACCCCAGTTTACACTGATAGGTGAATGAGTACTCAAAATGTGGCAAATCCTTATCATTAATCCATGAAAAGGAATGAGATTCTGGCACATGCTATAAACTGGGTGAACTGCAAAAACATTATTCTAGGTGCAAGGAGCCAGACAGAAAAGGACAAATATTTTCTTTTATTGGAGAGGTTTTCACTATAGGGCGCGAGTGCTCGCCAGACAGAGAGAGACATAGAGACAGAAAGTGAGAAATCACCCCCCAGAGGGGATGGTCACGCTGCAATCCCTTCTCCTCCATTCTCCTCTCAGGATCTTGGGCACGTGCACACACACCCGGCGTGCATTTAAGCCAGCGGTCTGGGACTCAAACCACGTTTGACTACACGGGAGTCCAGCGACATAGCCATTACGCTAACTGCTGGTTCCCAGAAAAGGACAAATATTGTATGATTCTACTTACACAAAATACTTAGAATAGAAAAATTCATCAAGATAGAAAGTAACTGAATGGTGGGACCAGCAGATAGTGTAATGGCTATGTCGCTGGACTCCCGTGTAGTCAAACGTGGTTTGAGTCCCAGACCGCTGGCTTAAACGCACGCCGGGTGTGTGTGCACGTGCCCAAGATCCTGAGAGGAGAATGGAGGAGAAGGGATTGCAGCATGGACATGCCCCCTGTGGAGTAATTTCTCACTTTTTGCCTCTTTGTCTCTCTCTTTCTGGCGGACTCATGCGCCCTATAGCAAAAACCTCTCAAAAAAAAAAAAAAAAAAAAGAATGTAACTGAATGGTTATTTTAAGACAGGGACTGGGAAAAAGAGGACTGTTTAATGGGTGTAGTATGTCTGTTTGAAAAGCTGGGAAAGTCCTGGAGATGGATAGTTGTACAATATTGTGAATGTGATTAATGCCACTCAACTGCATACTTAAAAATGGTAAAAATGGCAGATTTCATGTTCTGTGTATTTTTATCACAGTAATGAACAAATAGAAAAACCCTAGAACCAGAGCTGGAAAAGTCAGCTGTTGTTTGATAGACCCAGATGTGACACCCCCTCCCTTTCCTCTCCCTCCCCTCACAGTTTCTATTCGGTTTCCTTCCTCTTTGCTGCAGGTCTTTTCTCTAGACTTCTGTAGTGGCAGAAGACTAAGGCCCTGTGTAGGTGCCAGAAGTTCTGGTGGACCATGGGATTCTCTCTCTGGAGGGCAGAGTGATCAGTGAGCAGAGCTCCTGCATGCCACCTCCTGCTGCCCACAGCTCAGGTACTGCAGATCCTAGATCACCTGCCATGTGCTACTCTCATCTCAGCAATGTGGTCCACCCCCCACCTTGGTAGCCATAGCTACTGCTGGTTCTAGTACCATCCACTTTTTATGGGCTATTCCAGTAGGTTTTTCTGTGGCTAGGTACAACTTGCTATTCTAAGTAGCACCTTTGGACAGATTTTTGTGCCAAGAGAGGCAGAAGTAATTTATGCTTCATTTTTTCCCTTTTCACTCATCCCTGGCTACATGCAAATCTTGCTTGATCATTCCAGAAAAAGCCTGCCAACCTAGACCCTCAGTGCTATTGATTGGTTTATAACAATAACCTCTCCAAATCTCAAATCACCTGATATATTCCTATCCACTGGCCCAGCAACCTAAGCCTCCCTCCTACTGTTCAGCATCTACAAGGTAGGGCTCTGTTCTCAGGGAATTCTAATTATTCTGGGTCTGAAACATCACCCTTCTAAATCTGCACTAGCAGGTCTGAGCAGAAAATTCAAGGCTATACACCAACCTGGGAAACTCTTTAAAAACTGTCAGCCAAGGAGGAGGGAGAGTTCTGTGGGTGAGGCTCCTCCAGCCAAAGGGGAGGAGGGTATTAACCTCATTACCTGAGGCTCCCTAGCCCAGGAAGAGGATGAAGGCACAATCTGTTAGTCTCACAAAAGGGACAGTCCCTTGAATCAGAGTTAGAACTCATATCTTATCTAAGTGTAGTGGAAACAATGATCCACATAGCTATCTAGGCCTTGAGAATGGACTGTTACCAGGATGTCAGGCTGGTTCTGGTCACCAGTCACTGTGCAAGCCCAGCAAAGAATTGGGTGAATGATCAGTTATGAACATCTCCCGCACCGCCTCCCCCACCCCCAGATACTGAGGTTTCTATTTCCTACTCTTAGATTCCCATTGAGTTAATAGTATTGCTCTTGGGCTAGCTGGTGGTGTGGTGGTTAAGGCAACTGGATCCCACATGGCCAACTTCATGGTTTAGGTCCTGGATCCAGAGACTTGAAGAACACACTAGGTACATATGCAAGTGTGCCCCAAATACTAAAAGGAGAGATGGATGAGAAGGAATTGTGGCATGACCATCCCCCCCCCCCAGAGGCTGCTTTCTCATTTATCCTCTTTCTCTCTTTCTGTCTCTTTCTCTCTCTGATGAGCATATATGTCCTCTAACAAATAAAAAAAATATTTCTCTCAAAGAGCAAAGTCATAGTAAATATCATGGCCCAGACATTGAACAAACTCTTTGGGTTTAAAATGCAAGATTTGACCATTCACTTTAGCTGTTAGGAAATTCCAGTTTTAGGTTGAGCCAGTGTTTTCCAGCTAGTGACATGGATACAACTTATCCCACCAGCAACCTGTTCAAGGAGGGTGCAGGACAGTGCTTGACATGTAAGATGTTTGGCAATAATGCCTGGTGGTGGGGTCAGGGGAATGCTAGGAACTTACCAGCCTCGCCAACAAAGACTTCCACTGGCGCACTGGCCGGGCTCTCGCCGATGATGTTATAGGCGGTCATAATCACTTCATAGCGCCTGTACTTCTTTAAATCTACAAGGTACAAGGATACAGGGGTTAGCTTGCACCAGGACAATCTTCCATTCTAAGAAAGTCCTCTTCATGAACCACACCAAATGAATCTGTACCTTCTAATAATAGGCAGGGGAAAGAAATAGACTTTTGTCCATGGAGAAGTCTGTGAAATGCTTCCACCTCTGATGCTAGTAGAAGCCCTCCTTCCTTTCCTTGTTACAACTGAAGCACCTACACCATAGTGTAGCAAGGATTCATCCTGCTCTGTGTTCAAGTAAAAGGTAGTATAAAATTCCCCCCTCTCTTTTATTTATTTATTTATTCATTTATTTTCAGTTTTTTGCTATTGGGCATGTGTGCTCTCCAGAGAAAGAGAAGGAAAAAGAAAAATCGCTCCCCAGGGGAATGGCCACATTGCAATCTTTTCTCCTCCAGTCTCCTCTCAGGATTTGGGGTATGCATGCATATACACTTTGCATGATTTTCAGGCTGCCAGATCCGGGACTCAAACTGTGCAGTTAACCATGTGGGATCTAGTGCCTTAACATTCATGCCACCTGTTGGCCCAAATTTTCTCTTCTAAAGTAAAGAATTTACATTATAAAACATGATCTAGGCTTGCCTTTGAATCTAGAATCTCTCCTTGAAAGTAAGAACACATAGAGGAAGACCCTGGTATTTTAAAATAAATTTTTAAAAAGATAATAGTAAACCAAAGGGCTTTAAGTTTTTAATGACTATGTCTTGGGGAAAAAAGTGTAGAGGCAGCCAAGCATATAGAATTACTCAGGGCAGGTTACTGAGCATGAGTTCTGTATTAACGGACATGGTGAGAGTAACACACCTCCAAATCTAAACATTCTGGAGGGTTCCCTCACTGGTTTATATTGCTTTATGGGTTGCTTGGCTTTTCTGAAGTCTGGGGTGTGTGTTTGAGCACCTGCCTGCTAGTATAAATGGGAGCTCACACCAGGCCTTCAAATTGTGCCTCTCAGCAAGCTATTAGCTCAGTAGAGTGTCAGTGAATCAGATCACTAAGGTCCTTACACCACTGGCTTCAAGGAAATGTTTACAAGGAAATGTTTACCACCACGTGGCTGAGTGAGGATCCAGCCTCTCTGACTCTAAGCACTGCTGGATCTGTGCTGCTTTACAAATAACCCACAGGAAGTGGCTTCTTGGACTCACATTGACCTGGCTTTTTAGCCTCAATCCAGGGACTCATGCTGTTGTCGAGTCCTGAGAAGGGGAGGGGTCAGCTGAGACATAAGCAGGGATGTGGATGTAGCCATGTGGGCTCATGACCACCCCTCTTTCATTTCACAACCTGTGATTGAAAACCTGGAGCAACTTCTGGCTCAGGAGCCCTTGTGACTAGAACCTGGTCTTTTATTCTCTGACTAGCTCTTTAACAGAGGTAACAGTGGGGAGGGAGCTTGGCCTACGTGGGCACTCAGCAAACAGGTGTTAGGGGAACAATGGGTAAATGGGTGAGTGAGTGATGGCTGGGTGCATGAGCAGATAAAGCTCATCACAGATGATTATGGGAAGCAGCACAGAGGAGTGAATCTTGCCCCTCGGGCTAGTCCAGCTGCTTGCAGGGTGGTAGGAAGATGGGATGGGATAGGGTTGGAAAGCCTCTTGAAGAAGGCCTACATATAGTAGGGGCTCAGAAAGGAGCAGCTCCTCCTCCACCTCCTTCCTTGATTTGCTTCCTAACGTAGTCAAGTTTCTGGATTGAAGTAAGTCACAATATGAGGTCCCCTCCTTTAGCCCCACACTTGGATCTTAAAACCCATCTCTAGCTAGAAAGCAAAGAGGGAACAACATGGTTTTATCAAAGTCAAAGGGAGGATGAGCAGATTTTTAAAAAGGAGATCTATCCATACAGTAGAATATGATTCATCTTAAAAAGGAAGGAAACTCTGACACATGCCAATATATGGAAAAACCTGGAAGACATTATGTCAAGTGAAATAAGTCAGTCACAAAAAGACAAATACTACATGATTCCACTTACACAAGGTCCCTAGAGTCAAAATCATAGAAACAGAAAGTAGAAGAAGGGACCAGCAGTTAGCATAGTGGCTATGTCACTGGACTCCCTTGTAGTAGACTATGGTTCGAGTCCTGGACGCGGTGGCTTAAACTCACGCCGGACGCGTGTGCGTGCGTGCCCAAGATCCTGAGAGGAGAATGGAGGAGAAGGGATTGCAGTGTGGCCATCCCCCCTGGGGGGTGGTTTTTCGCTTTCTATCTCTCTGTTTCTCTCTCTTTCTGGTGAGCACACATGCCCTATAGCAAAAACCTCCCCCACCCTCACCCCCCCACACACAAAAAAAGAAAAGAAACAAAGTAGAAGACCAGTTTCCAGAGGATAGAGGGAGAGGGAAATGGAGAGTTAGTGTTTAGTGGGTACAGAGTTTCTCTGTGGGAAGATAGAAAGTTCTGGAGATGGGTGTGAGTGTACTTAGTGTCACTGAATCGTACACTTAAAAATGATTAAAGCTAGTTTTATATTTATCTGTTTTACCACCAAAAAAGGTTTTTTGTTGTTGTTTTTGTAAAAATACAAAAGTACAAAAGTGAGTTGGAGAGGAAATCTTGTCCAGTTTGACTTTCTTTTTTGTCTCAAACTCAAAGACCAGATGTCAGTAAATATCCACCAGCCTCCATTTCTAGAAATTTCCTGTGTCCCTGATGGTTTTGGCATGTTGAGGAGTAGTGTTTGAGAGGGGGAATTCCAGAAATTAGAGCCATTAATCCAAGCTGGTTTCACTTGGTCCACTGAGAGGCCAATTGGCGTTGGCTGCCTTTCTCCCCAGCCACGGAGGCTTCCTGCTGGAGGCGGTGTGCACTTACGTGTTAATTCATACGTTGTTAATGTGGAGCTGCTGTTCACGGTCTTGAAGCTGCTTTGGGCTATTAGGGGTAAGCAAAGCAGAAAGGCAGTTAGCATGCAGGGAAACAGTTATTGTAAATGATGTACAGCAGAAATGAGGGAAATGGCCCCACTCAGATGTCGTTCCAGCTCCTGCACTGCACCTCCAAGGGCGATAAAGACCTCACTGCTGCCCACATACTTCCCATCAGCTCCCTGGGAACTACCTCACTTCTTTGTAAAACATCACGGAACCCCAGCCCAAGACAGGTGGAGGTGTGCTCGCCCCTGTGATTAAACAGAACAAGCATTTGGTGTGACATAGTGCCAGGCAACACTAGGGAAGACACACACATGAGTTTCTCCTGGAACCTCGTGGCAGGTACTACCACCTGCTTACTCAGTTTAGGTGTGAATCCTGGCTTGAAGGGGACAAGCAAACCAACTGTGAAAGAGGGCTTGTGCTTAGGCATGTAAGCTGACTACCTCATTGGGGCCTTCCACTCTTTGTGTTTTTATTTTGCTGCAAAACCCTGGGAGATGCTAATTGTGTGGACATCAGCAAAGGCCACCTTCTGGGTGTGCTAAGAGTGTGGGTGACAAGTGGGTGGTTTCTTTTCACCAGCACTTGTCAGTGCATTCCTGAACAGGACCAGAGCCACATTGTGTGAGCATAGGTGCCATGTCTGCACGCATACCATGTGTGGAAGGGGAGGAAGGTGTGTGTAATGCTCACTGCTGGTGCACAGTAAGGCCCCAAAACAACTGAGGTAGCAGGAAGTGAGAGGCAGTCATTCAGGAGGCAGGATCCTGGAGCTTCTCTTACTGTTTCCAGCATGAGGATGTCAGAGGGCAAAGAATATCTTCTATGGCAGGGTGTGTGGGATGCCAGGAAATTAAATCCCTATCACCTCCTTCCCAGAAAAGGAGGTGGGAGGGGGCAGCCTTTCACCCAGGCTCAGAAGTTGCCTTGATGACAGCTATATGGCCCATTATCAGAGCCCTGCCTGGGGTTGTGGTGGAGCACAGGCTGCAGGTTGCCTAGGAACTCCCTGCCATTGCTTGTGGCTAAAATGCAGAATGAATGAAAAGGAAGAGTCTTACCTGTGAGCTCAGCTCGCAAAGCTGAAGGGCTTTTGAGTGTCTTGGCCTCTGTTCCTGACCCAGCCTCATACTCCAGCTCCCGGTAGTAGATCCTGTATCCCTGAAGAAGGCCATTCAGGCTTTCATCCCTAGGAGGCTGCAGAGACATCACAGGACTCAGCCACACTGAGGGAGTCAACCCCTGCATGAGAGGTGTGGAACCTCTGCCCCCAGGTTAACTAGGCAACCACACAAGAGAAGGTCTCTAGTTCAAGTCAGAGACTCTCAAAAACAAAGGAAAGGTATCAAATTCATGAAGAGGAACACAAGGGTCCTCTCAGGATACATAAACCAGCTGTGAAGTCATTGCCAGAACCTCAGTTTTCTTGTGCCTCTATGTGGGGACACAGGCATGTGACTGTAATTCTTGAATGATCCCCAAGGACAGTATAGCCCAGACACAGAGAAGGAGGAGGCTGTCCTATGTAAACTCAGAACTACAAGGGCACCTTGGGATGCAGGCTGGCTTCTAATCATCCAGTGCTAGCCCTACCCCGTCTCTGTTATTCCCTGGCCATTCTGGGGCAAAGGCCGGGTATAGAAAAGTCATGTGAAGTCTCTTGTTTTCTGTTTGTTTTTGCTTTTACCTCCTAGGGCTGACAGTCTTAGCCAACAAAATTATAGGACGCTCAGTTAAATTTGACCCTCAAAATCACTGTCCTACAATCCAGAGGTAACTAGGTATCCAGTGTTTTCTCTACTGGACCCCTCCACATGCCAGGTCACCCCCACTTCACCCGACTCCGACCTAAGGCTGGAATCCCTGATATCCCATCCAATATCAGCTGACATTAAAAGAGCTAATGATAGGTCAGGTGTTCATCCAACTCATAAAAATCCAGTGGAGGGACCAGCAGATGGCATAACGGTTATGTTACCTCCACATGGCCAACTGCAGTTTGAGTCCTGGACCCGGAGGCTTGAAACTCACGCTGGGTGCATGTGCGTAATCCCAAGAGGAGAATGAAGGAGAAGAGATTGTAGCATGGCCATCTCCCCGGGGGGGTGATTTTTCATTTTCCTTCTGTCTCTCTGGTGAATGTATATGCCGTAGAGCAAAAAACCTCTCTCTCTCTCTCAAAAAAAAAAAAAAATCAGTGGAGGGGGCCAGCAGTGCCATAGTGGTTAAGGTGCTGGACTCCCATGCAGTCAATTGTGGTTTAAGTACAAGACCCAGTGGCTTGAAAACCACGCTGAATGTGAGTGTCCCTAAAACCCCAGGAGAAAAATGTATCGTAGTGTATCCAATTAAGATGAGGTAATACTGGATTAGGGTGGGTCCTAGTCCTGTGACAGGTGTCCTTTTAAGAGGAGGGAAGTTTGGACACATGGGAAAATGATATAGGAAGGCTGAGGCAGAGATTGGGGCAATGCATGTACAAGCCAAGAAACACCAAGAGCTATCTAACCACTCAAAGGCGGAGGAGGTCAGAAAGGAGCCTTTTCTAGAAGAGCCTTTAGATGGAGCATAGCTCTGCCAACACCTTGATTTTGGGCTTTGGTTTCCAGAACTGTGAGATAATTAATTTTTGTCATTTAAAGCTACCTAATTTGTGGTAGTCTCTTATAGTAGCCATATAAAACTAATACACTCTTGCTATTCAAACTCTTACCCTCCAGTTCTATCGAACCCAGGAACCAAAAGGAGCTAGATGTTCACATAAATCACTTTCTATTTAATTCTTGCTACTTATGATCCAAAATTCAGATCTGGAGAATGCAGTATCCTTTGCTCTCCTAACTTTCCAATGGAAGGGCCCCAATATCAAAGAATAGTTGTGTTGTTGTAAACAGAGAAGATGAACACTTGTGTGTACATGGCGTGTAAGTGGCATACTAAGGATATCTTAAAAAATGTGAATTGCTAATACATTAACTCAAGCATCCCCAGGGCCAGAGCAATGCAGGACTGCTGGTAGCTTGCTATCATTCTCCAGATATTTCCCGAGTTCCCAATTCAGGAATCATATGACAGCATACAATTTCCCCCATTAGATGAGAGAGGTATAACTAAAAAACCTGAGTGACCTTGCCAGGTCTTGGTGATATGTGCATGTGTGTGTGTGTGTGTTGGGGACAGAGGTCTGGCAACTGCAAATTGTCAAATGTCTGACAATACTCCAACCTAGATACAGCCCTGCTCCTTCTGACCCAGGGTGTCAGACTCCACTGTACAATTTCCAAAGCCCTGGGGAGTGCTCTGCACACTGCAATGCTCTCAGGTCAGAACTGCAGAACCAAAGCCCAGGGACAGAGAAGTCAGGGGAGTCTCTCTTTTTTTGTTTTGTTTTGTCTTTTTTTTTTCCTTTTCCCTCCTTAGGTTGACAGATTTAGCCAATAAAATTATAGAACACTCAGCTAAATTTGACTCAAAATTACTGTCCTAAAATCCAAAGGTAGCAGGGCCAACAGGTGGAGTAGTGGTTAAGGCGCTGGATACCCATGTGGTCAACTGCAGTTCAAGTCCCAGACCCAGCAGCTTGAAACTTATGCTGGGTGTGTGTGCACATGCATGGCCAAAATACCAAGAGGAAAATGGAGAAGGTATTGTGGCATGAACATCCCCACAGGAGGTGATTTCTCACTTTCTCTTTCTCCATCTTTCTCTCTCCATCAAGCACAAATGCCCTACAGCAAAAATTTCTCAAAAAAAAAAAAAATCCAAAGGTAGCTAGGCATTCAGTGTGTTCTCAGGAACCCTGCTCCTACCCCTTTTCTAACCACTTTCAATCAGGACAACCCACAGGTGGAATGTTTTTAAAATCCTCTCACAATAGTAGAAATAGTAGACAAGACAAAATGAATGCAGACAAGGTTGGTCCTTGGATGGGGTACACCTGGGTCCCTGGAGTGTGGCCACACCCATCCTTACACACTGTTAACCACTTTCTCCAGGAGAATCCCTCGGCCTGCTCACTGGCTCCACAGACCCCCAGGACTTTTCACACTTACTAGGAAAACAAAACCCAAATCCAAACACACACTGGAGTTTTGCTGTGTTGTTATGAGTGTATCACAATAGAGGTGCAGGCTGATGGAAATCCTGTGTGTGTGTATACCCGTGATACATGACACATAATACACACATGGACTGACAGAAAGGCAGAAGGAGAGTTACTGGCTATTTGTTATTTCAGCTCTAGTCCAGGTTTTCTCATTGAATATGGTTGAGATTTAAATTAAAAATCTTATCCTGTACTGTATACTTCTGCATACATAACAGGTACCACATTATAGTAGAAACTTTATTTAACCCTCTTCTTCAAAGAAATATGATGAATTAAAAAATTTGAAAAGTCTCTATATAAGAATGGAATGGCATTTTTCCATACGTCATCTAAATTTTATAGGAAAGGTAACTGGAGTGATTTCCTACACCAAGCATCAAGAGATACTCTCTATGGCTGTTTTGCCATCTAAGTCAGCCCCAGTGATTCCAGCTCCTCTGTCCCCTGTGACTACAGGACATGTACTTAACAGACGTGGTCCCCTACAGGAGGGAGAGGAACCTTGGGCCCACTCCATCCCTCCTGTGGAGAGGGAGGGCAGGGCTGAGTGCCACAAGGAAGACCAAATGTGTTTGCTCCTGTGCACCTCGCTGCATGTTCAGGGTGTGTTTATTGAGCTAATGTATAAGAATACTGAGCTCTGTACTGTGGGCATTTGATATTCACCTCACTTAGCTCACTGGGTCTGCACGATCTCCTGAATTCTGATGCCTTAACGGTGAGTGAAAGAGGAGTGTAGAACCTTAGAAAGGGGATGCTCATTGTCTACTGTAGATTCTAAGAATAATCTGAGGATGTGGGGGCTTTTGGTCTAGAAGGAGAGGATGACCCTTTATGAGGTGCTATACTGCCTGGTATAGAGCTATTAGGCAGAGATGGATGTAAAGTGAAGGGAAGGGGCAGGTGTCAGAGCAAGTAAGGAAAGAAAACTCAGGCTAAGGGGGTGCAATCTCCCTGGGTCAGCACTAGGGCTAGCCCAGGTCCTGTGTCATTTCCCACAGGGGTGAACTCCCAGAAGATCTGTAGCTGAGTCAGCCAACTGGCCAGAATGGAGCTACCTCCAAGTTCAGGAAGAGTCCCAATTGGGCTCATCTGCTGCCCTGGGCTACTGCCATTCTGATTCACAATGAACCTTGTGAAAATGCACAGATGAAGGGTCCTCTGCCAAAGGATAGACAGCAGAAACTTCCAAGACCCTGGGGGCTGTTGACTTCCCTCTCTAGGGACCCTAACAACCAAACAGAGATGTGTATCCCTCTAAAGGGCTTTTGCTTACTGCATGCTGTGCCCCCAGGGAACAGGCTCTTTCTGCTCAAGGCTCCTGGTCTGTTCAGAAGACAGTCCCTGGGCTCTGTCCTTGGTCACGCAAGCTTGTAGAAGGCGGGAGTGGCCATGGTCTGGACAGTGAAGATGAGAAATCTCATGCTTCTGTTGCTGGAATCTGGACTAACTTGAATCAGCAGAAAGAGGAGGCGAGCACGCAGATTAAAAGCTTGCAGCTGGGTCTCTGTAAGCACCAGCCCTGCGATCTCACCCTGAGGGTCACCTTCAAAGCCTTTTCACAGTTTCCGATTATAGTGGCAGCGTCAGACACTTGGACCTCACAGGAAGATTGCAAAGACCCCTGGGCAACTCTACAGACACACACTAGCCAGAGATAGGATTACAGTGAAAGCAATTTACTTGGTGGAGGAAGAAGAAACCTGGGTAAGGTGGGAGGATTGGATTCAATTCACCAAAATTATTAAATAAGCAGGAAGTTGGGAGGTTGGGGAATTAGAAATATCCTCATTGGAGACCAAATGTGGTTCTGCAGCCTTTGTGTTCTTATATGCTGGGGTTGTAAAATGGAATGGAAAGGGACTGGGCATTACTAATCTTGGGCTCATAAATATTCCTAGCCAAGGTGGGCAGAATGCTTCTGAGTTGTAGGAATAGGTCAAAGTCCATCACCCCACAGGCACAATGGCCACCAACCACTTGTCTGGGGTCCACATTTAGCCAATAGGTTAACTGATGGCTATATGCATCAGTAATCCCAGAGCATCTGGACAGTCACAATGTGCTCCATTCCTAGCTGGAGTCCAAC